CTCTTCCCCGCAAGATGTTATCATCACAGAGATTTCGCTCATCAAATATGTGCAGATGTAAAAACATAAAACTCTTAAGGTGGTCCAGTTTGTCAGTACACTTAAAAGCAAGGAATTTGCTTTGTTTAAAGAGGGAGGGATTCTTTCCAGCGGGACTCTGTCAAGAATGTGGTACGAATTTTCTGTCCCCAGAGAAGTATTCACTGCTTTCTACAAGGACAGGCAAGAACCAAACACCGTTCTCTCTTGGGTGACAGCCATGCCCTTCACTGGGTCTTGACTTCAAAAGGTCATTAAAATCCATCCTCGCATCTGCAATAAAGACCAATGTCTCTATTTTCCCTGACATTTGGGATGCACTTGGCAATCCCAGTAACTTGGGGGTGCTGTTATGGTTGTTCTTAGTGAAATAAAGGAAAATTTCATAGGTTTTTAGAGTTGGAGGATACCTTAGATAACATCGAGTTCACCGATTCCCAAATCTGGTTGTGGATAGGGGTCACCCAGGGAACTTTTAAAACTTGTCGATTCCTAGGCTTCATCTGAGAGATATTCAATCAGAGTTGCAGGGCAGAGCTGGGCATGTAGAAAGCTCTCCAGGTGCTTTGGTTATGGTCAGCCTGGCTCCAGCATTTGGAAGTCACTGGCACATGGCCTGGAGAGGTTGACTGATGACTCACGGCTGGTCGGTAGTTAAGTAGCTGACTGACTCTTAGTCAAGGACTGGTTTCACTGCTTCAGCTTTCTTCTATGATGGTGTCAAGGCATTTCTTTTTTTCCTGTCAAAAGATTGCTTTAATGTAATAGAAAAGATCGTCTAATCATGACATCTAATCACTGAGGGGAATTAATTCTTGTGACATCACTGCAAGTATGATTAGCAGCGAACTATGTAGCCTCCATCCCGACGGTCTGATCAAAACGTGTGAGCCAGTCGGAAAGCGCAGCAGTAGAGCTTTGTCCAGTCCTGGACGGGGTGCACTAAGACGATCCGCAGGGAAAGGAGGCTGTCGGAGAATGCAGGCGATTACTTTCAAGTGCCCTTGTGGATGGGACTGGTAGCAGCCAGGTCTGCGGCGTCTTCAGCTCCTGCCCGGTCTCCCTTCAGCTTCTCTGACTCTCAACACGATCGATAGTTGATTCTTCAAAACAGCGGATAAAATAAACCATTCTCTGCCAATTCTAACTTTTCACTTTAGAAGAAGCACTTCCCGGCTTCCCTTCGGCATATCTGAATCGCCCGCGTATCTCTGGGGCCAGACTGAGTAAAACGAGAGTGACTTGAGCACAAGCTCTGCCATACCAAGGCAGTCAGTCTGGGAACCAAGGTGGCAGCCGCCAGGGCTTTAATGCCGGTGATATTTGCAGAGTGAGCACAATGGCTCTCACTGCTTATAGTAGTCCCGGAGGGCCTTTCGAGGGCGCAGCAGGTGGATGTGCTCCTGGTTTCGTCCCTGCATAAAATAGCTTTGCAATGGTCTGTACAGGTTTGGTATGTCTCCTTCTAAGGGTTCTGTCTTTTATGTCCTTTGTTCTGACATAATGTTTTTTTTACTTCACTGAATCATTTCAAAATATAAGCTTGTTTTGTTTTTAATTTTTTTTTTTTTTAAAAAGGAACTAAAGGATATTTATAAGGAGACTTTGACATCTTTCCATCAGAAACCACCACGAAGGGTAGAGAGATTGGAGGCCAGAGATAAGAGCTGCAGGAAATCAGGGTCCCACAGAGATGAGAGTTTGGGGCGTAGAAGAAGAGGAAGAAGCCACCCCTGGAGTATTATCCAGCTCCCGACATAAAGACGCTGTCCGCCTATCAGTGTAGCTTGGAGCGAGTCAGCTGTCCCTGACTTAGGCTGAATTTGGAAGAACGTGGAAGTTAGGAATATGACTATTTAAGTCAAGACCTGAGTTCAGATCCAGCTCTATCGCCAAAAAGCCAGGTAATAATGGCTCTGAGCCTCAGTCTTCTCATCTGTACCATGGGGGTAATAACACATCCATCACAGGGTGGTGGTGAGATTGGAGTGTCTGATACCTGGTAGACAGTGCACATTGGTGGTACCATTATCAGGAAAGAATGTGTTTTGGGGATTTGTGGGAACTTCTTTCTGTCACTTGCTTGAGGCCTTCTGTACGTATCCTTCCAAGGGAGAACAGTGGACCTGTACCCCACTTTCGCAGAGTAAATGGCATGATTTGGAGGTGGTCCCACTTTGCTATCAGAGGAAGGGGCATTGTCCCTGGCCTCCTGTCCCCCTGCCTGGCCTACACCATTGGCGCATCTGAAATAGTAATCCTTTACTTTGCACGAATGAGGTCAGTGCAGGAGAAGCAAG